TGTTGGGCTTAGATTACCCGTAGCTTTGTCGTCTGCAAAGGGCTCCCACAAAGACATCTGATGCTGTTAAAAATTTAACAATAGATGACTTTGGCTGCGTTGTGATTTCTTCTAGCTGCTATTCTTTAACCGTGTTTCAAATCTTCCCTGAACGTGGATTTGCATCCGTATCCTAGCTCAACTCCAGAGGTTTTTTGACGCAGAGTGAAGCGTGCCGAGAAATGGAATTGAATTTGTTTGTGGTGGAAAGTCAAACTCAATAAATAAAACACCTGCTGACAAACAGGAGACCACACTTGTGATGACACTATTCGAGCTTCTCTGTGTGGGCCCTGACCACAATTTGTGTCATTTTTTCCAGCAGCGAGTCAAGAAAAAGTCAGCCCAGCTTCGGAAAACTAGTCCTAGCAAATTCTCTTTGATGCCGTCGCTCGTGAAAATTAACGTCTCTTTTGAGTCCTGCAGAAGTTTCAACAATCTAAGTTTCATTTTGAGGACTTCCTGTCTACCGTGTTGGGAAAGACCACACCACGAAGGATGTAATTTAGAGCTTTGACTGAAGCAACACAGCTTCCTCCTCAACTGTTTAACCCCCCCCCTGCCAAAAAAAAACCAGATTACGGAAGGAAGGCGTAAAACACCCCAACGATGCCGGTCGATCGCAGGCATACCTAAGGCCTCCAGGAGCCCTAGATGGAGAAGGAGACATCGTCTTGACCACACCATGGATGAAGATGGGCTTGAAGCGATGGAGGAATTCGTATCCGGGCCCTTGGTCACCTGGGTGAGCCTCACTTGTGGGGCAGGGAGGAAGTGTTCAGGGCAGGGCTGGACTTGTGATGGGCTGTTCAGAGAATTCTCTCGACACAGACATCTTGATAGGACTCTATCTAACCAACATGTCTTCACCTTGTCAACTTGAAGATGGGTGGACTTCAACTCCCAGAATTCCCCAGCCAGCATGCATGCATGCTGGCTGGGGAATTCTGGGAGTTGAAGTCCACCCATCTTCAAGTTGTCAACATTGATAGACATTGATCTAAATCCTTGAACTTGGTTGATGACATCCTTAACTCTCTCCATAGTGTAGATCAACAAGCTTGATTGGGGGGGGACTTATTTTGGATTTGGGTCTGGGGGCTGAAGAGTTTTGGAGGCCTGGAGGCCCACCAAGGTTGGACAACCCACACTCCTATTTTTGAGCCCCCATCCCATCTGTCCTCCCTTCTTCCTTGTATCACCACATTTTGACTTCCCACCGTCAAGAAGTAGACCAGAGACCCAAGCGGTAGACTCAACCTAAGCTAGGTTGACCTTTGTTTTGAAATGCGTCGACTCCAGGCAGACCAAAAGGGTGTGGATGATGGAGCCTTGAGTCCCAAAGATGAGACACTTGCATTAAAATTTGTTTTAGCCAATAAACACTCATCTCCAGTCTGCTGAGACAATAAGCTGGTTTAAATAGTTGAGGTTTTGATGTGCCGGGCAAACTCAGGAACCGATTACAGATAGTCCTTGAGTTATGGCCACTATGTTCTGCAAGGCAGTCGTAAAGCGAGTCCCAGACTGCTATTTTGGATCATCCTTGCCTTGATGTCTTGGTCCCACAGATGCAGACGCTGGAGGATCTGGTTGGCAGGAGCCTCCACCAACTTCTCCAAGGAGAGGGAGAGGCGAGCAAATGTTTCCGAAAACTGGTTAATGGAGATTTCCTCCACCAAGTCATGCAAATGATGTGAGTCACCCTTTTGCCGGCGGCGCTAAGACACACAACATGACAGCAGATCTTGGTTTCCTAGCGTGGCTGAACCCTCGTAGCTTCCGGCAGAATTCTCCAATGTCTCTTGTGCAGAATTTCTAAGATTAAAAACCCCATTTTTTATGGGAGGCTTGCTCTTCAAAGACCCACCGTTTTCTTTAAAAAAGACAAAACCAAAACCAGACATTTTCACCACCGGTAAAGGCGAGGAGGGGTGTGGAGTTGCCAGGATGGAAACACTTGTGCCTTTTTTAAAAAAAATAAAAATTAGAAAAGCAAGTTTTGGAGGCAGGCTGGCTGGCTGGCTGGCCCTGCACCCAGTTCACTGTTTGATATTTTAACTAAACAAATATATTTATAGAAATTGTATGTTTTCTGCAAAACTAGCAAGTTCGGGCTTGCGTTGTTAGAATGCACAGCGTGAACGATGCTTAATTCAAGGTGAGCAATGCACGGATTTTAGATACACGTTTAAAGGGAGAACGCAAATCTTTACATTGCTAACTGGGGGATTCTGGGAGTTGACGTCCATCCATCTTCAAGCATGCTGGCTGGGGGATTCTGGGAGTTGAAGTCCACCCATCTTCAAGCATGCTGGCTGGGGGATTCTGGGAGTTGAAGTCCACCCATATTCAAGCATGCTGGCTGGGGAATTCTGGGAGTTGAAATCCATCCATCTTTATGCATGCTGGCTGGGGAATTCTGGGAGTTGAAATCCATCCATCTTTATGCATGCTGGCTGGGGAATTCTGGGAGTTGAAGTCCACCCATCTTCAAGCATGCTGGCTGGGGNCTACCAAAGTTGCTGCCAAATTACAATTCTCTATGCGCCAGAGAGGGAAAAAAAACATATTTTTTTTCCCATGTTTTTCAGAGATATTGGCCACAACTTTCTTATTTCTCTGCTGTCACGTTGGTTAGGGTGGTGTAACGGTGTGCGAGAATGACCTTGGAGACGGGAGGAAGTTCTTGACTTACAATAGTTTGGTCGCTGAAGTTACAACGGCAGTGAAAAAAGCGACTTTTGTCACACTTAAGACCATTGCAGCATCCCCATCACATGATCAAAATCCAGACGCTTGGCAACTGACTTGTACTTGATGGCGGTTGCAGTGTTCCTGTGTCATGGGATCAGCAAAGTCAGTGGGGAAGCCAGATTCACTTAACAGCTGTGTTACTAGCTTAACATCTGCGGCGAGGCAAGTTTTAAAATGGGGCAAGATTCACTTAACAAATGAGCAACCGTCGTAACTCGAGGACTAGCTGTAGTAGTAGGAGCAGCGGGGCCACGTCCCTGTAGGTGGAGGCTCTTAACTAGCCCAGGATGCTTGTTAATTGCAAAGAATGTGAGTTAATGAACCATGAGGGCTGGGCAGAGACCGAACCCCGGGAGAAAAGAAATTTTTATGGATAATTGGCACAGCTTTTCAGGCTGCTTGCTTTGAGCTCCCGGTGGAGTTTCCCAGAAGTTGCCCAACACATCTCAGCAACTGAACAGCGCTGACTTCTCTGCCCGCCCTTCCCAAAGGCAAAATAATTTGATTTTCAAATTACGGCGTGGTATGTGGTTTGCCCCTTAGCTACTCCCAATCTTAGAAAATCTTGCCCGGTGTGCCGTATAATCGTGCCCAGGCATTCCCTGCTTTTCTGTTTCTTTGCCTTTAAAACTTTTCTGCAAATAATTTGGCCCGTTTTCCACTGGGGAAGAGGAAGCTAAGAGGCTAACTCATGGTTGGGAGAGGCTAGGAATTGCTCCATGTTGTGATTTTTGGAAAACACTGGGGTTTGTTTTCTCTTCACAGGTGCGGATGCTGGCTGATCCAACGGGGGCTTTTGGGAAGGTACGGAAATACCCGGTGCAGTGTGGGGGTTTGGGCGCTCGGCTAGGAGAGCCCCAGGTGTGGGAATTATGGACTTGGACTGGCCCAAAGTCACCCAGCTGGCTTTCGTGCTGAAGGCAGGACCAGAACTCACCGTCTCCTGGTGATGGGCCCAAAGTCACCCAGCTGGCTTCCATGCCTAAGGCGGGACTAGAACTCACCGTCTCCTGGTGATTGGCCCAAAGTCACCCAGCTGGCTTCCATGCCTAAGGCGGGACTAGAACTCACCGTCTCCTGGTGGTGGGTCCAAAGACACCCAGCTGGCTTTCATGCCTAAGGTGGGACTAGAACTCACCGTCCCCTGGTGATGGGTCCAAAGACACCCAGCTGGCTTCCATGCCTAAGGCGGGACTAGAACTCACCGTCTCCTGGTGATGGGTCCAAAGACACCCAGCTGGCTTCCATGCCTAAGGCGGGACTAGAACTCACCGTCTCCTGGTGGTGGGTCCAAAGACACCCAGCTGGCTTTCATGCCTAAGGTGGGACTAGAACTCACCGTCCCCTGGTGATGGGTCCAAAGACACCCAGCTGGCTTCCATGCCTAAGGCGGGACTAGAACTCACCGTCTCCTGGTGATGGGCCCAAAGTCACCCAGCTGGCTTCCATGTCTAAGGCAGGACTAGAACTCACCGTCTCCTGCTTTCTCGCCTGGTGCCTTAACCACTAGACCAAACTTGCCTCAAATCAGCCGCAATTTTGCTTCTTCCCACAGGCCACCAATCTCTTGCTTGACAAGGACTCTCTCCGGCAGTTGTTTGGGACAAATCGATCCAAGAGGTCTGAGAACCGCAAATTGCATTTTGTATCTGTCTGTTATGTGTGTGCTGTATATACGTGTGTGTGGTGTGTATGTGTGATTTCTTCCCTTCCAAAACCTTTACCAGCAGGGGTCTTCCAACTTGGCCCTTTGATGACTTGTGGGCTTCAACTCCCAGAATTCCTCAGCCAGGCATGCATGCGTGTGAATTTGGATCATGTGACCGTGGGGGAGGCTGTAACGGTCGTTAAGTGTGAAAAACGGTCCTAAGTCCCTCGTTTCAGTGCCGTTGTTAACTTCGAACGGTCACTAAATGAACCGTTGTAAGTCAAGGGCTCCCTTCAAGGGCACCTCCGTTGAATTGAACCCCGGTTGAATCTTCTCGGCTCTACCTTGAGGTCTTCCTGCAGCCTCTCAACCCGGAAAATAAATGGAAAAATCTTAAAATCTTTCCCACCCATTATTTTTCTTCCCATCGCTCTCCCGGTTTCACTCTCTTCCCCTTTTCTTCCAGGTTCTCCATGGTGGTGGAGGACAGCATGGTGAAGTCCCTCAACGTGGAAGAGGACGGGACGGGACTGACCTGCAGCCTGGCCAGCAACATCGTCTCCCAGCTCTGAGGCCCAGACCCCACTCCCCCGTTGCTGATCTTAGCCCTGGTGGGAATCCACCCTACGCAACCAGTTGGTTCCTACCGGGCGGATGGCCCTTGCGGGAGTTTGGAATCGGCTCAGGAGGTTGCGCCCGAGAGGGAGTTGTGTGTCTTTCCGTAATTGTGGCGTCCTTGGTGCTTTCTGAGCTTCAAGACGTTTTATGACCCAACTAGGTAACATCATCATTGCTCTCTGTTTATATATTAGTAGCTTGCCCTGTCAGTGTTGGGGAGAGTGTTTTCGTTTTGATAGATCCTTGATTAGGCTGTTCATTGCTTGATTGTCGGAGTTGATGGCAGCAAGCCCTTTTGTCTAAAAAAAAAAAAAAAGTAAACCCCACTCCCTTGTAGCGCTGATGATGTTACCTAGTTGGGTCACGAAACGTCTGCCAGAAAACCACCAGGCTGAGAGAGCACCAAAGACCGCGTAGTTTAAACCTGAGCTGGAAGTATTCTCTTCTGTTGGTTTACACCAGGGGTAGTCAACCTTGGCTCCTTTATGACTCGTGGACTTCAATTCCCAGAATTCCTGAGCCAGCTTAGCTGGCTCAGGAATTCTGGGAGTTGAAGTCCACGAGTCATAAAAGAGCCAAGGTTGACTACCCCTGGTTTACACAATTGTTTTCGCTTCTTCTCTGTTCCTTGGATTGCAAATAAATAGTCTGAAATAAAACTGAGGTCTCAGCCTGTTTCTTGGGGTTACATCAAAGGGCTCACGCTGGCTAAGGGAGTAAGGTGGTAAACCCCACAAAAATCTTAACCACACTCTTCCATCCATTCTTAAAAAAGAATCCTAATTTATTGCAACTCAAAGGTGTCGAATTAATGTATGAACGAGAGGGATTATTCACACGTGTTCCTGTCTCTGATGGGGGGAAAGGAGAAACACGCCTCGTTCTATTTTGGTGAGATGGTTGGAACCACGGATAGTGGACGTGTGAAAAAGCAAGAGACATTTCGGGCGCAACGTTGTATAATGACGCAAAAGCTTCCCTAGAATTATTCTTAGCGGGCTTTACGGATGTTGAACTAGAAAAGAAGCGGGGGAAATTAATTTTGCGTATGACAACTGCCGCAAGGTCATTGTGTGCGCAGAGACTCGAGTTACAACGGGACCCCCAAAAGATAACGCCACGTTCTGACGGGTTGACAAATCGAGCCTGCTCTAAAGGGCTGCATTTCAAGAACAGGCCTGCTTGAGAAAAGGGGGTTGGACTAGAAGACCTCCGAGGTCCCTTCCGATGCTGATTTTAAAAATTACATTTCTATTCACTTCGCAAAACACTTTTCCACTAAAGAAAGTTTCAAAGCAGTCCTGCTGTGGAGAGAGCGCTCTGGAGCATGCACAGAGTTCCATCCTTGCTGTTGGGCTTAGATTACCCGTAGCTTTGTCGTCTGCAAAGGGCTCCCACAAAGACATCTGATGCTGTTAAAAATTTAACAATAGATGACTTTGGCTGCGTTGTGATTTCTTCTAGCTGCTATTCTTTAACCGTGTTTCAAATCTTCCCTGAACGTGGATTTGCATCCGTATCCTAGCTCAACTCCAGAGGTTTTTTGAC